GTAAATTTCACACATGTACACCAATACGCGTTTAAAACTTGTCCTCTGGAATTTTTTTGGAAAATTTAGACGGTGAGGTATGAAATTGAACTTTTTAAATGTTTCTATTTCTCAAATACAGCTTTTATTAATTTTTCGATGATACGGGGAAAAACGCAAGGGCTTCTCAAAGACGTATTATATTAAACACTCAAAACTAAAAAAAAAAAATTGCTGACAGTAGTTAGAGTTAGATTTAAACTTTTTATCCTCCACGGATGCAATCAAATTAATTGAAAGTACATGATTCGAACAATATATGCGTTTTAAAGCTTCTCTCCCATATCTCTCTGTTCAAAATTATGATATTTGCATCATTAAGCCTTTTTTCAAGATGGCCACAAAAAGACCATGCACAGAAAAAATTCTGAATTTTAATCATCGCGCAATATCTATACAGCCGAGGATTCTTGATCATTGTAAAAACATCTTCAAACTATAGTCAATAGGTACAACACAACAAACACGTTATCTTCCGCTATCCAATAAGCCTCCTCCATCAGAACGGGATCCGCTTACAGATGTTTCATTGTATGGCAGTATCGCCAACGGGGGGTAGAGCGCTTCTATTGCAGCAATGGACGCAAAACGTCGCCATCACTCACATACTCATCACGAAACGGTTGCTTTCCAAAGTCGACGACGCATCGAACGAAAGAACTGCTGATGAAGAGCAATGAGGAAGACCACACAAAGGTTGCTGCCGCGCAAACAGAAGATTGCTTGACACTTATCGAGAGTGGCCTGCTTTTGTCCACAGCTGAGTTAACACTGATTGCGCAATATCTCCCATCGTTAAATTTTAAGCTAACGTCGGCATAAACAACAAAATTGTTTGCAAGCTTGTATGCAACACTGCTGGTTTATGTGAAATCGCCGACTGGGATTGAACCCAGGCCCTTTGGAGTAAGAGACAGTCACGCTTACCACTACACCACCGGCGCCGTTGGAAAACCACCGCTGTAGATCAATCAACTTCAGAAAGCGTTACGTGTGTACGATTTACGGAGGATTCTGACCGTGCTCTGGCGTTGGTCATCCGGAAGATATTCCTTGCCGAGTTGGGCATCGACATGTACATAGGTGTGCGAGATGTATACATGGGCGAGAAAAAGAAGATTTTCTCCTCGCTTATTGTCATCACTCGGAAGGGATTCCCCTAGAGTATACGTTGGAAATACACATAACTGCTTCTTATGCAAGACAAAAGGCACCGGCAGACAGCAGCAAGGTAACAAAGGAAGTAATGCATGTGCTAAATTATGAGGCGGTGAAAATAGACATGGTCACGTGCAAATGACGACCAGCAACCACTGGACTACTAACAGGAACGGTTTGCGGTGCTAAAAAAATCCATTGTAATTCTCTACAGAAATTCCATTTAATTATCTTCAGAAATCCTATGAAACTTGCCTTAGAATTCTTTCAGATTTATCCTCAGCCTTCCTTTGGAATATTATCAATATTATTTGAATTCTTTCCACCAAATTCCTTACAAATGCTCTCAGAAATTCGTTGAGTTAATCATCAGAGCTCCTTTAGAATTATCCTCAGAATTCTCCATCCACTCTTCTTAATTTATATTGATTTTTACGCAAGATTCTCAGGGATTTAATAAAGATTTTATTGGGAACTATTTTCACATTATAGGAATTCTATTTATTAATATCATAGAAGCTTCAACAGAACTACCTTAGAGTTATCTCCAGACCTCTTTTTTTAAAAAATAGGGGAAATGGATGTAATGTCGGCCTAAATGCCCCTAATTTGGGCCCATACATAAATTCAGAAATCGACTAAATTTTCAATAGCGACCAAAAATATCCATTAGTACCGTCCCAATGACGCGTTCATCTAGATAAAATTGATAAATAGCAGATTTTTAGCGATGGGCCCGATCTTAGATCCATAGGCCAACATTAATGGCGATTTCCCCTATGTCTCAATTTCTGAAACAAACACACGTAAACAACATTCAGCTTTACATTATAGGGGAAATGCGGGCTTCGGAAATACCTATACCTATTATCAGGGAGTACAAAATCCGTGAGCGCTCAAATGAGGCTAATCGATGCTCTGAAACATAATGTATCCTCATGCAAAAAATGAGTACTCAAGGATTTCAAGACCAAAGCCGTCATTCACGATGTCATGCCTGGACAATTTCCTTAAAACTCAGCATGTTGAAAATTGTGTCTAGTTCGTTATCTTCAAACACAACAAATCTAGATAAAGCTGGAATTAGGGCCTATCAGCTTTTGTAAACAATTACTTCTATCGATGATTTCTTGAAATTCAAGGCTCGCCCACGCAAACCAACATCCTCATCGGGTAGGAAAAGACTTCCCCTACCTGATGGTTATGTTGGTCTGCGTGGGCGTGGCTTGAGTTCCTAGAAATCATCGATAGAAGTCATTGTTTACAAAAGCTGTTACGCCCTTATTCCAGCTCTATTTAGAAATCTAGAATCCATGTATAATTGACGTTACATTTTAAGAGCTCAAATTAGCACTTTAAGAGCTCGGTATTAGCTAAGCATTTCATCTGAACATGTTTTGAAGGTTATTAATTTACATGGTCAATAACGGCTCAGGCTATGTCCTTACGGTCATCGGAGAGCGAAAGGATTGCTTGTTACTAGAGACCACATTTTTGATAGGGGGAAGGGTAAATTACGTCTGGATTCACTTTGGATTTGATGCTATCTTTTGAAGCGTGATGCCACCCTCAAAATTCAGTAGTGTAAAGAGGCTTGGGATAGAATCTACACTCTTCTGCTCTGTAAGAAAAATCGGTCGCTACGCTACTAGGCCACCGAGCTCCTAGCTATAGAGATTAGTGACGTTTAACGCACGCACACTAGCGGGTGCATCACCGTGTAAAGTTGTTAATTATTTTCCTCTGACTAACCTACTAAAAGTAAGAAATTAGATCGGTCAAAATGAGTTTGACAGCTATTTGTTAAGTATCTTCCACGGATTTTCACTTATATGCTCTCAAATATCGCTCCAATATAACCGGACGTGAAAATTTCTATTCAAATGGAGTTGATTTGATAAATAGTGTGGTCGTGCTTAGAAAAAGAAGAACAGAAATGCAATGCACGCCCACAGCTTTTTAATGTGAAGGAACTTTTTATTGAACCCACGTCTTTTTGATAACTACGGTTGCCACTACGACCGTGACGATGACGATTCTCACGCAAAATTATTTAAAAGTTACAAAACAACAAAAAAGTAATTTGTACACACTTAATTTTTTTCGCCGAGATTCCAACAGCTAGTTCTGCAATTTATTTTGCTGAGATTCAGTAAAACAATTGCTTAGACTCAGCTAACAAATTAGATTTTGCTGAGATATCAGCTAACAAATCGAAGGGGCGACTCTATCTACGATGAAGGAAAAATTGTTGCGCGCACGCTGAGTAGATAGTAAGAAGTTTTATGACAATTCTGAAGATTTCTTGCAAAAAAATGATGCACGATGCAAGTATATGCGAAACATTATTTTTCAAGGATTGATTAGCTAGTGTGAGATTTGTTGAGCACCTAGAATTGAGATTTAGATGTGTCGTCCCCCTCGTAATAAATAGATATTTTGTAGAGATATCAGCAATAGTAAATGCCGAGGTAATCGGCTGTTGGAGATTTTACCGAGCTAAATTAAGTGTGTACCACAGGCCCGTAAACATAACAATTTGGTATTTTAAATGTATTATTGCGCTACATCTTACAACAGAATATCATATGAGAATAATAGCGGTGTATTTTTTTAAATTTTTTGAGGGCTGAGGGAAAACAAATCTGAGGGATTATTTTCAACGCAGGAGTCTACTTTGGTGTGAAATATATGCAATATAATCTTAAATAAAAAAGTCAGTTCAGCAGCGCCGGTGGTGTAGTGGTAAGCGTGATTGTCTCTCACCCAAAGGGACTGGGTTCATCCCAGTCGGCGCCGCCAGGATTTTCTGAGGCATAAAATGTCTTATCACGTAAAGGAAAGTAAATCCGTTGATTTGTAAAGGTCCATGAGTTGATGTGATGGGTCGATAGGGAGGGTTCAGATGTGGGAACTCTGCCTCCCTGCCATCGGTGGCATTGGTACTCAGTACGGAAAACAAGATCGACGGAAAACCAGTCAAGAAAAAAGAGATTTATCCTAAAATGTAGGCTACCCGTATCAACTTTTATCATCATAGAGAACAATACTCCTTTCTGGTGAATTGAACGAACAGTAATGTTTATTTACTTTGCTCGTTTGGTTTAGCGTTTGACGGTTCGTTTGGTTCTTCTTGCTTCAGTCTATGCGTGTCTCTATTCAACGTCTCTGTGCGTAGCTACTCAGATTTACTGCACTGCTCGTGTTTTTTTAAGTCAGAGGAGCGGAGCAACGGGCAAGCGCCTAGAATGAGCTTCCCAAAAGAAGCCAATCGCTCCTCTTTTCTAACTAAATAAACACGACCAGGACAGCACTCTGAGTGACTATGTAGTACAGGAGTACTTCATCGTTTTAAAATTGCAAAAACCATTTTCTCTTCGTCAAATTTTCACTCGTCAATGACCTGATTACAAAAAGTGTAATTTCAGCAGATAAGTCCTGTTATTAATTCATCCTTGTTTTAATTCAAAAACAATTATGATCCAGCTCAATGCTTAATTGAAAGTGAGCGGCATCATTACACCAATTATAGATATTTCGGATACTGTTTATTTCCATCTAAACTAACAAGTTGTTACCAAGTTTAGCCGAAATGTATCTCAATTGAGTGCGACGTTGCTGCTGCATCACCTAAACAGGGAAGTTTATTCACAAAACTGTGACAGAAAACAATGAGACTCTCGCAATATGGAAAACCATTCATGTCAAAGAGAACAGAGAGTAAACAGCTCCCTCTATAGCAAATAATGGTACATTTACGTTCATTGTGCACTGAGTGTAGTGTGTGCGCGCGGCGAGCTTACCTTTTGACTTCGTGGATTTTTCGGCTCTTTACGTAGATCTTCGGGCTCACGTTTGACATTTATCGACTGCGATGATGGGTGTGAACCAAGCAGTATGCCTTGTATATCATTTTGCGATAGGCCTGGTACGTCCAGAGGCGTGGTTTGGCCGTTCATTTTCGTAGCGGGGCTGCTGAGAGACAGAGAGAAAGAGAGAAGAAAACAGAGAAGGCAAACATTAGTCAAGAGTGTGCGCTCTCGGTACTCACAATCGTCATAAATTGTGTACACGGACGGGTCTCGTCGCTATTAGTATGGGCTGTTCTGGTGTATGCGCGATTCAATTGCTTTTCATTAATTCCGCTGAGTGACGATTGAATGAGTGAAATAAGCGCGAGTAAGATGTTAAGGCGCAGCGCGCAACATGTGCGAAGTCATTTTACGCCGCGACACTTAAGTCGCTTGCTCCAGTTTCTTTCATTTATATTTATCGATTCTCTTTAACTCGGTGCTTTTATTGTAACATAATTAAAGTATATAATATTTTATAAATTTTATTGACATTATTAAATACACTTTGGTTTTAAGCTGCAAATGTAACGCTGCAATAAAGTTTACTATCGACTTAATGATGGTTCTTGCGCTCCACTTTGCTGATCCACTTGCGAGCGTGTTCCCATCTTGATGAACAATCACACGTTGTACTAATCGTCACTTAGCGTTATCTGGATCAGTGGCAGAATCTCTTCGTCCCTTTCACCACCCTTTCCGTTGGTGAATGGAACCGAAATTAGTTCTACCGTTCTCGGGCTGATTTGAAACTCGTGGTAGCCAAAAGCAGGGAATATTTAAACGATGAAGAGACGATCCGAAGCAACCTCCCTTTACGGTACTGCAGGAGAAAAAAAAATCCGCCTCTGCTCAATCACCGATCCGATCCAAGCGGACCTGGACTGATTTCTTAATGAAATCACTCTTCGCAGAGCATCAAGCCACGAATTTACATAAATTCTTGATAACCGCTCCTCAGCATGCGGAGGCTCGTAAAATTTTTCCAATCTTTATTGAACTTCTCATCTTTTCATCTCTCACGGGCCGGGCTGCTGAGCGCGGACTCGAGATGAATAAAACTGCCACTACGGTCATAAATTGTCCTTCCCCTTCCTAGCTTCTCCCTCCCGCGGGGACATGGACCAGCACCAGACAGTGCCATTTGGGTGGAGCAAAACAAAACAAAAGCAGAGCCCGGCTCGGCTGGGCAGACGCAAAAATCAATCCTTCCAAAATATACATTGCCGTTTCACGCAGCAGAGAGTCATCTATAAATACGACAAAAATAAGGTGTTATAAAATTTACGACCCGCGTGCTCTTATTTCCTTTTGTCTCCGAACTTTTTGTGTGTTTTATATGGCAGAAGATTTTGTTATAGGTTTCGTTGTTGTTTTTGGTTGACAAACTCAGCCTCCCTATTCCCAAGGCAATGGTTGCTAAACAGACCGATCGAACGGTTAATTAATGACACAATATTACCGGGATAAAATAGGAAGGCTGTTTTGTGGTGTTATTATTGGATGAATATGGTTGGGAAAGAATAGGGTGAAATTTTTCACGGTTTGTCTTCGGGATAATAGCGCAAATTGGTTCTATTCATCGGGGCGTATGCTAATGGCTGTTGTTGGAGCGGCCCTGTTTTAAATCTCATGGGATTGAGGTTTAATAGATGTAGAAATTTTCAATCCTGAAAGTTGTTTCTTGTTAAAGCATTTTACCATATAACGCTGATTAAAAGATTGATAACTACACTTGTAGTTAATGAACATTTGCTCAGCTACAACTTTGATGATGACTAACTTCCGATCAACAAGATTACAAAACGAATTCAAACAATTTTTTTAAACTATTCTAATACATAACCTCAAGGTCATGAAAAATCGATATCTTTCAGATCATAAAAAATTCGTAGGCATTAACTTAATTGCAAACCAATAATGGGGTGTAACATTTCTGGATCTAATCAATATCATCCATGACGCACTATTTATTCCCCATTCTTGGCGATTGTTATTTGCTGACCGATGTTTTTTTTTTGAATTTAATGAAAATCAGCGTATCCAAAGGTTGAACATTTCGGGCGGTAACAAAGTTTTATACTCCCTGTGGGTCTCCGAGAGAAAGAGCAAAATTTAGCGGTAGAACAGGCGGGAGGGAACGAATGTTTTTGTTTGCTCTTTCTTCTACTTGGTATTTACCGTAGGCTAAATAGGGTTCTTAGAGAAACTCACTGAATAGGGTAGTGCTTTCGCATTCAGGGTGAAGCGCCAAACATTTTACTATTAGGTACTGGCACATATCATGAAAAAAAAAAGTAAAAAATTTGCAGTCATGTTTAAGGTATTAACTATCTTATTATTGTTGCGTTGCGTTGCGTTGCGTTGCATTGCGTTTGTAGTGGAGTGTTTCGTAGATTGCATACTGGCAACTGTCATGTATCTACTTTAACGATCTTATTATGATTGCTTAAGGAAAACTATTTGGGAGTGAATAGCTCTCCAACCAAAGTTAAGATCAGGAAAAACATGAAAATTACCAATGCCCGTCACGCCCATCTTCTCCGCTACGGGGAAAGGAAAGATATTGTTGATGTAACATCTACTTAACGGGAGGTCAGCGACTCACCGACGCCCCCATAGATGCTATGGAGTGGGATAGTTAATAGGAGATGGGTCAGGATTCGCTTAAGCAGGCGATGCGACCATAGTAATTGTTTTGTTTTGGAAGCTTGGGAGTAAATCCATGATCTTCTACTCAGTAAACAAAAGTGGCAGCCACCAAACTAGCCGAGCTCCTCAATTTTAGTTGACGTTTTTATAAATACTGATTTAAACAATAATGTAAACAAATAAAAAGGAAGGGTCTCACCCAAATGATCTGTAATTAGCCAGCCTTCTCGTGTTCCCAAGCTGGATCAAAATGCAAAACCATTTATTTGATCCAAAATAGTCATGGTGACGCGTAATAAGTGATCCCAATTGCTTGACGGGCTGAATATGAAATGGTCCTCTGGTAGCGCTTGTTTCAATTGCTTCCTCCTAAGTGCTTGTGGCACTGTTGTGGCTCCAGCATTTTAGTTGGAAATTCGATTCTGTGGGATCTTTCACTAAAGTCGTTCGTACCAAATCAGCAGCCAATTATCGAGAAAAAAATTACAGCGGAAAAAACGAATGTGACATTTGTTCATGGGCACAGCCTACTTTCATTTCAGAAAAAAAAATTGAACTTCTTTTGCGCTTATCATAAAAAAATGCAGGAACTTTACAGATATTCCAAGAAGACAATGTACAAAATTTAAACGAAGTTGCGAGTTCTATGAGCGCCAATGACAAATTTCTAACGCTTCAAAAAGATGTGATAAAACATTGATACGTTGAGAGTAGAGAAAATTAAAGTCTCCTCCCAGCGTCAGAACTTATAGAAAATTATGAAAACTTTGTTTACTAACTATCTCATTTTTGTTACTAAGAAAGTACGAATCAAATTTCCATAGAATATCATTATATTTCCCAAATTATTAAAAAAAATCTCAAATATCAAAAGCAGAAAACCAACATTTAAAATGTGTTAATTTTTGTGGGTAATTTTCTAATTTTGAGTATGGTCACTAAAAATTGAACGCTCGTATGAATTTTGTTACGTTCAAGTTCGAATCATTGCCCTTTTGCCTTAGTTTTCAGCCTCACTCGCCGTGTTTAGGTCTCTCTCAATCCGGCTAATCGAGAACACCGAGCCGAACCGAATAGAACATGATCCAAAGTGTCATATTTCAACAGATGGCTCTATTTCGGTGGTAGTGGAATCGAAATTTTAGTTCAAATAAATCATTCAGATCAGAAGTTTCATCAATGATATTAATATGTCTTCCCATTACACATTTTTCTATCATGACGATACGTTTTCTTAAAAAAAAATTAACAAATACATTTTCATTAGTTTTTTTTTTTATTATTATAGTCACTTTAACACTAATGGGTCATTCGCGACTTGTCCGGGGGTGAGATTTGAACTCGTGACTTTGTTTTTACCAAGCTTAAGATTGGTCAACTGGGTATACATTTGGATCCAGTTTGTCGTGTCGATGTTGTCCAATTGTCCCTCCCAACATAGTTTACTCATTTTTGGGTACGTTCAGCTTTGACCAATCCGGATGGATTGTACCAAAGTTTGAGACATTATGAATCAGTATAAAAATTAATTTGAAACTTCAAAAGAAATCTGTGAGCATTTAGGACCAAGGTTGATAAAATCCACAGATTGCTGTTGGCATGCATGATTTGACTTGTAAAACCAACAATGATAGCGACCGTTTGTGCACGCAGAACAAATGGCTTGAACATTAGGGTGGGTCATCATGATCATTTTTTTAGAACCATGGTTTTTTGGTTCCATTTGGGGCCCCTAACAACTGTGCAAAAATTGAGAACGATTTTTTTGTAACCCGGCTTTCCGCATTACGTTTGGAAATCAGTATGGAAACCTAATTATTGGCATTTTCATTCCTATGGATCACAATTTTGCTTGATGTATGGTACTAATCATGTAAAAGTATAGTCCAAAAAGTGCTTAACAACTTTGTCAAAGGATGTGCGATACTAGAATGTCTCTAAAAAAGTTATAGCTGTTCAAAGATCACTGTTTCGACTTAAAGGCTTAAAATCACTTTTCCTGCCAACACTGCCGGTGTACCAATGGAAGTTATATTCCAAACAATTTCTCTCGTTGGGCTATTTTTAAGTGGACTATGTTTTACTTTAGCTGTAGCCCACCTAAATCAAAATCAAACGTCATTTATTATAGTCCTTTAACAAATAACGACCGGCTTCATGAGAAAACCGCAAAACGAGTGGAGTAATGATACAATACAATTTCAATGTGAAACAACAAGTTGTTTCCTGGAAGGTTGTCAACGGTGTGGCCGAATTCAACAACAAGTCGCAGTTCAACGATGAGCAACAGCATCGAAAAGAGTGCCCTAAGAAATTGTAGAATATATTAAACTGAAATAGGGCTTAGATCTAATGTTGCGCACAACCCGCCCTTTGCTTCTAGTTTTTGAGTGATTTTGCTTTACAAAATTGAATGTTTTCACTGCAGATGACTTTTAAATTTATTTACCTTTCCGTATGTACCGTGATATT